CAATGCACTTTCACAAGAGTTATTTCGCAGCGTGTGCCATCATGCCTTAAAGGGGGAAGGGGGAGATAGTAATTATAGCGAGAGAGTTCGCCAACCGTTTTGGCAACCCAGAGATAATGCCGATCACGACTTTTGCAACACAGCATAGATGATAGAGACTGAGTCATGCCAAATGGAAAAATGTTCCAAACTACCAACTAGGGTAGGTCGCTGATGAGACAAGTAAGCTCTACAAACGGAGGAGGTATAGGGTAAGCCTAAAGCAAGTCACACCAGCGCCCCAGCGGTCGGCCACGGAGAGACCTAAGCCAATCCCCCGCCAGCAGGCAGGTCAGAGTTCATGTAGCAGGCATGCCTATAACACGAGACAGGCGGCGAGACAGAACAACTCTGAGCTAGCAGGAACAAACACCCTACCACTACTCTGATGATGGAAACGAGGAAGTTTCCGAAACGTCAGCACCAATACAGTGTGGTCCATGGCATCGCCTCTTTTTCTTCTTCGTCTTCTTTTGGGGATGATGAACGGGATAATTTATCTGGACCTCGAATCTTCACTCATGTTGATTTATCCTATGGGCGCACAGCCCTCCGATCAGCACGCAGATGGGAGACTTTTGCTAAACGAGAGTCATCCACCTACGCACAGCTGAAGTTCCTGCATCGTTGCCTCGAGGAGAACGTCTTGCCGAAGTGTCTCCGATATAGCCTGCCAGTGAGGACTGACCTCTGCCAGCGGACAATGGCAGATTTCAAGAAGAAGATGATCCGAGTCTTGATACAAGACTGCCACGCTCGCATCCGTAATTACCGACGAGCGACAGAACAGCATATTTCTGCATGCCGGTCAATAGTCACCCCACACGATCTGCAAATGTTGGAATCGACAATACTCAGCAATGCACGTTGCCACCGCAGGTTGCGCGACAACCAATTGCTAGAGAAGTTCGAAAGAATACGTCCACAAANTCACTGGTATATGGCCACATACAACAGGAGAAGCACAGTTTCGCCTTTGGGGAGGCGAGCGTCATCGGCCGAGCGAGCGACAAGATGGCCAGACTGGTTCTCGAAAGTTGGTCCTCAGTTGACACAATAAACAGAGCCATTGATCTTCATCCGGCCTACCAGGCCCTTCGTACGAGGCTCCAGTCAGCTCGGACGGGGCCGACAGCACTGGCGAACAAATCGCGGCTCTCTCAACAGTTGTCACCTTCCCAGCAGGGGGAGAGAGCCAGCCGGGTGTCAGACGACCGACGCGAGATATCGACCCACCGACGCGCCCAAACAGCCGATCCCGATCCCCACATGCAACGGCAGCTGATCAGCCCGTCAAATTATGGGGGGAGGGCCCAAGGGCACACGGACCTAGCAGCGACAACACCGGCCGGGCAGGGGGCAGAGGTCACACCAGCGCCCCAGCGGTCGGCCACGGAGAGACCTAAGCCAATCCCCCGCCAGCAGGCAGGTCAGAGTTCATGTAGCAGGCATGCCTATAACACGAGACAGGCGGCGAGACAGAACAACTCTGAGCTAGCAGGAACAAACACCCTACCACTACTCTGATGATGGAAACGAGGAAGTTTCCGAAACGTCAGCACCAATACAGTGTGGTCCATGGCATCGCCTCTTTTTCTTCTTCGTCTTCTTTTGGGGATGATGAACGGGATAATTTATCTGGACCTCGAATCTTCACTCATGTTGATATATATGATATATATATGTATATATATTGCATATATATATATATAATGGTAGGGGGGCGCTCAACGATCGTTCATACGGAACTCACTCGTTCCGTTGTGCCTTAAGGGCTCTCTCTCGAGCCCAACCAGCTGCCGCACAGCGGCGCATGATATATAGGCAGAATAGCATTACCGACAAAGACAAGGGAGACTGGAATGGCCATTTCTGATTTATTAGCCGTCGTCAGCCAGCCCCCTTTCCATTGTATATTCCCGATCGAAAACCGACAGGACAACAGACTCCTGATCCGGTGGGTAGAGGCGTGGACTTCTAAACCAACAGGTCGCGAGTTCGAGGCTTGGGTGTTCCACACTTGGGGTTGGGTATGACTGGCTGATGACGACTAATAAGCCAGAAATGGCCATTCCGGTCTCCCTTGTCTTTGTCGGTATCACCTTCTCATATATATATATATATATATATATATATATATAAACTCCTTGTCCCAAAGAACGTTCTCGACTTCAACATATATATATATATATATATTTATTGAATAATTGAGGTTGTTTGCATTCCGAGATAATATGATGAAGGGAGAAGGCTCGTCGGAAAAATTGAGTTGTACTCGTGAATTTTCGAGCTGGTAACTCCAACCCGTCGTCAGACGAAATAAACAGAGGAGAAAGTGAAATGGTCAGATTAAATTGGTTGGCGTGACAGGGCGGCCAATAATAGGTAAGCAACTAATGTATGAAAGGGGGGATGGAGACATAATTAGGATAGGGTCTCTGGTGGGGGATGGAAGAGGGAACTGTTGCGGCTCCGTCTGTTAGAAGGTAGGGGGGATGGCGATTAAATGTGACTTCGGACGGTGGACTTAATGATCGTCAATCCGGCACGCGGGTAGGAGTCAGTGATCAAACGTAGAGGGGTTAGGGGTTACGGTTGCGGTTCGCTGTGTCTGGGGTAGGAGGGGGGGGGGTGGGGATGGCGAAATAGTCCGATTATATAGGGCCCGGTATGGATTAGGGACTGTTGTTAGGTCGTGGGCGCAAGTCAGTGAGCCGAGTACGCAGACCTTCGTAATGAGCGTCCAGATCGACATGGCTATTGATGCTAGTTGTGTTCGAGTGCAAGGCTTCGAGGAATTCACGGGCATGTTTGGTATTTGCCATGTCAACAATTTCAGTACCTTCCCAATTGAAGCGATGTTCGCACTCAAGGGCGTGCGCGAACACGAGAAACAAAGGGATACGTCGGCGGATGACTAGTTTATGTTTGTTTATATGCGTCCCAAGTCGTCGGCCTGTATGACCAACATAGTCGCAAGAGCAGTTAGCACACGGAATTCGGTAGATGACATTGGTTTGCTGCTCTTTGGGTAGAGGATCTTTCACACGGGACAGTGTTGCGCGCAGGGAGGACGCCGGCTTGTGGGCAGTGAAGATACCAAACCGGTTTACTTGTCGGGCGATCGCCTCGGAAATACCCTGCATGTAGGGTAGAGAGTAGGATTTCCGTTGTTCGGGTCCCTCATTAGAACTAACGTCTTGTGGCTGTCTCTGTTGTCTGCGATAATTTCTCACAAAACTGACCGGGTATCCGTTGAGTCGGAATAACCGATACAGGAAAGCAAGTTCTTTCTTAAGTAAATCATCGTTGCTGCAGTAACGGTAAGTCCGGTGCAAAAGAGTTCGGACACAGCTCCTTTTATGAGCCCCAGGATGGTTGCTTTCGTAATTAAGAATGACGTCAGCACTGGAGGCTTTTCGGTAGACGTTCGTTGCAAAACCGCCATCACTGAGCGTTCGGATACTAACGTCTAGAAACGGTAGAATACCTCGTGTCGCCTCTTCGCGAGTAAACTGAGTAGCTGGGAAGACTCTATTCAGACTCAGATGAAATTGTTCAATTTCGCAGGTCTTCATGATAACAAACGCATCAACTACGTATCGGAGCCAAATTTTTGGTTCTAAGGTTCGCATAACTTCCTCTTCTAGTTCAACTAGTAGACCTGATATTGGCGATCCCATTGGTGTACCCCTAACATATTGATAAAACTTTTCATCGTTGGGTTCGTAGTCATTTCCAGTATTTATCATGCGACTACTACCGGCGCGGTTAATTTGCTCCGTGCAGACGCCCAGATGCACTTCTGAATTGAGTTTGAAGGAGCAGACTGCCCACGCGATGACAGTCTCTCTCTCTCCCCCCCTCTCTCTCTCACCTCCCCCAGATGTACTGTACCCTTAGAATTTCAAGAAGCAGGTATGTTTGATCTTACCGTCATGTCCTTTAATCACTGTAGAGTCACGCCACACTTTTTAGCGATACCAACTGTCAACTACGAACTGCGATGAGGACTGGGCGTTGGGCCCATCATTGAGAAGGAAAATCAGAATTTCATGCACATCACATAGAATAACAACTCAAAGTCTTGTGAGTCAGTTGAATTTGGTGGATTCAGTTTTTTTCCACTGGAGCAGTTGTGAAATACACACACGCACGTTAAAGACCCGAGACAACTCCTCTGTGGACCTGCTCTCCGCAGCTTCGTTGAAGAGCTTTCAGATAAGTAAGGTTATAACCCTATACACATGTGACTTCACTTCTAAACGGAGCTGGTGGTCAAGCAAGAAAGTGACGATCCGCGTAACCGAAATGTTCATCCGTCAGATTCAATCAAGGACGTACCACTAGACCGAACAGGAGCTCTTAAATCCTGCTTACGAACTTTCGGGGCATTGTCCGCGAACCACAGACCCCTCCTTCCCCCTTAGCTGGTCTCAGTCCCGACTGCATTCTAGCAATCGAAGGTAAACGCAGAAATATCATCGAACCCTGACAACAGCACGCAATCTCCTATCTGAGTGGATAGGCCGTTAAAACAAACCTTAGGCCGCCACCAGATCTGCATAAGTCGATGGTTAGCTGTCAGTAGAAAATGCTACAAAAGAGGTCAAAGCAATTCCTCTGCGTTGCAAGAGGCTAATGAGATGGGTACACACTCGGTCGCCTGAAGTAATTTCCACAGACATTTATAATACCAGGTCGCCGGAATACTTACTGTAGCCTAGAAAATAAAAGTGCCATTGTCAACAGAAGCTTCTATTGGCAATGTATTTGGGCGCGATGCGCTCCGATCGGCCCGGCGATGGGAAACCTTCGCCCTTCGGGAGGCCTCCACGTATTCGCAGATCCGGTTTCTGCACGGATGTCTCGACAATAATGATTTACCGAAATGTGTTTCATACAAGCCCCCGGCTAACACGGATTTGGCGAGACGAGCAGTATTTCATCATGGCCGAAGGATGATCCGAGTGCTCTTCCAAGATTGCCACGCGAGACTTTGCAAGCACCGTCAAAGGATTGACGAAGAAAAGACCAGATGCTGTGATTTCATGGGCGAGATCGGTACAAATCTGCTCCTACAGAGGGTGACTGAACAAGACCGCGAACAGAGAGTGATACGCGACGCAGCACTGGAGAACAAATTCCGAAAGCTGCCCAATCCAACGTCGCCCACAAACGACAAACTGGTGCACAACCTATCGTCAAAGGAGCTGACGAAGGATCAGATGCAGGCTTTACGGCACGAAGTTTCATTTAATACGGCTGACGCCAAATCTGTTAACATGATTGCAGCAGTGGAATCAACCCTTAGTCAGGCGGAGGCAACGGAGGAGACTAATAGCCTCATCCGACACCAAGTGTCGTCTCTCCTGATGGCCCACAGGCCGCGGGAAGTGCTTTCCAAGGTCGAACGTAATGCGCTTAGAGAACTCAAGGCCGACAAAGACCTGGTCATCGTACCAGCGGACAAACGACGCGCCACAGTTGTACTGGATAGGACAGACTTAATCCCAGACTTGAAGTACGGCTAATAAACCAGGAGGGGCGATCGCACTTTCCCCTCTTTTTACCGTTACTCCATTTAGATAACTGCTGGCCGTTATATGACTGTCTCAGGTTCTACTTTGAGCTCCAGTGGACAACGAGACGAACACGTCGCGCAACCTGACTAGTGAGCGTCCTCCAACATAGCTAATATTACCGATCATAACCGACAGGGCAATCGGTCCGTGACTCAATGGTAGGACGTCGAACTACTTAACGTCCAATGACCAAAAAACCCAGGCTCGAATCCCATGTCGTCCATATATGGGGTTAGACATGGTTGGCTGACGATGGTCAATAAGTCAGAAATGGCAATCGCAGTCTCCCTTTTCCTTGTCAATTCTCCTTCCTGCATGAACATATAATTCTCGTCCCGAGTGCCCTGGGTAAAAGGAAGAATCTTCACTTCAAGGCTGCTATTCGGCAACAAATTAGGGCATTTTGAGATTTGGCTTCCCACCAGTCAGCGCTGTGATGCAGATTATATATTCAGCTTTATGCAGAAGCGGATATAAGGATTTGAGGTAGCTGGTTGTTTCAGCTCGATACGGCACCCCTTAGTGGTTTGATTCTGAGCGAATATTAGCCGTCACCAGGAAACAACAGTCGTTATTCGTTTGGCTGGAACACTACGCTCCTGTCATATAGTAAGGCTTAACTTCAAATGACCCTTCAAGGGAGATTACCGAGGTCAGGCGGAGCATTCATAATAAGTCTACTTTACTGACTTATTAAAGAAATGTCGATAACTCGGCGGCTCACGCCAATCAGACCGGCACATCGGCCAACGTTACTGGTTATAAAGCAGTTTGTTTCTAAACAAAAGAGCCAATTTATTTCTAGGCTTTACTGCTGCAAGAGTTTGCGTACAGAGCCTCTTGATATTCAGCAAGCCTTTTAGCCTGGCAGGCCGTCTGGTAACTCAAGGGTAGCATATGGTTGAAGACAAAATATGAAAGGTGTTAGCCGGCATTTGTGTGGTTAACTCGTCCGCCATCAACTCGAACTCTTCTCCTTAAGTTTAACTTGGATATGAAGAAGTCTTTCAGCAGGCATAGCGAGAGTACGCACCCTTGCCCGGCCAAATGGCTATTGATTTTAGCTCCTTGGGCATAAATTAGTGCCTTCATTTAATTGGCTAACAGCGAAAGTAGCAATGACTGGTTCAACCAATGCGAAAGTTAAACGAAGAGGACTATCCAATAAAAAATAGTTGTAGCCTAAACAGCCATCCGACCGGCAACCAATGACAGGGCTATCTGCAGTCCATTTTCCTCTTTGTTTACGAGTTGCCTTATTTCCGGAACCGTCACGGGCAGAGTAACCTTGACCGAAAACTGACATTTACTGGCTGGTGGCGAACGCAACAGGCTGTTTCTCAAGAAATTATCAACATACTTTGATATATGAAAGGGCAAAGGAAGAAAAATCGCTTCTTTGTTTGAAATTTTCAAAAGGGTAAGTGAAAAGTGTTCTGGGTACCACGCGGTAAACAAGGGAAAGTCTACGTTGTCGAATAAATGAACCAAGAAGTTCACGCAATTCGTCATCGGCTAGCGGGTATAAACTGCAAAGGAAACTTAAGTATACGCTGGGATACTAGGCAACTTTATGCGTAAAACAGTAGTATAAGTATAATGAATGAAGAGAGGAAAGTGGCGACTCACTCTCGGGATCTCGGATAAACCAATACTCATACTGCTGTTTCGAGTAATTTCTTCTGTATAGCAACCAACTCGCTGAACTTAGAGCTAGCTTTCCAGTTTGATAAGGTCCGCATTTTTCGCAACCCTGGGGTTCAGAGGGGGGTGGGCCCGGCAGGCGGAAAACAGCGTGTGGCGAGATGGGAGGGGCTTCACACGCTCTTCTGGTTTGTTAAACCGTTTTAAGTCTTCAAAGCCTTAAGAGGGGTCGCCAGCAGAAGAATAGACAAAAACGACAGTCACCAATTTCTTTTGGAATTTCCGTCGTCGGCGATAGTTTATAATATAAACATAGCGTTGCGTAATAAACTGACAAAGATAAGGGAGACTGGGGTGGGCATTTCTGGCTTATTGGCTGCCACCAGCCAGTCATACCCAACTCCGAATTGCGGAACACCTGGGATTCGGTCCTGCGACCGGATAGTTAAGAGTCTAACGCCCCTAACCGCTGAGCCACTGCTCATTGTTCTGTCGGTTGCGGTCGGGAATATACAATGATAGCGGCGCTCACCGACCGTTTTTACGAAACTCACCCCAGGTGTTCCCCACTTGGGGGTTGGGTATGACTAACTGACGACGGTTAATAAGCCAGAAATGGCCATTCCAGTCCCCTTGTCTTTTTTGGTAGTGTTGTGACGCCTATATCATGCACTGCTCGAGAGAGAGAGCCCTGAGGCGCAACGGGACGAGTGAGTATCACAACATGATTGGTGAGCATCCTTCTGCCATCAGGGCTTCCAAACTACAAGCTTTATATTTTCCGTGTACGGAATATCCTACATTCTGCTACATTCCGTCCTTTATAGGGGCTCATAAAATGTATCAGTGGATTTGAGCATACTGTAAACTTCACACACAGCACTAGTAAATGCGGAGACACCAGGGTTTATGAACGGGGGTCTCCCGGTCTTAAAAAACTCATAATTATAAACTTTTTAAAACCGAACTATGCCTTTCCTTCAAGTATAAAACTTAAAGAAGACGTAATGTTCTACCAAATGAGTTAATGAATGAATATTTTTTTGCATGGTTTCCATGAAAGATATTTGAATTTACAAGGGCATCGAAAATCAACGAGAAAATTGCATGCTACATAAGTGGCCATTTTTTACCGAGTGTAATTTTTGCTGGCGAACAAAAAAAAGTTCGTTCAAAAGCCGGCATCCTGAAGTACCTGAATTATCACGGAATTATGCTTCGCGGTGATTAATGTCACAACCATACTTAGCCAATCTTCTCGTGTTTAAAACGCCTTTCATAATTTCGGTTAACATTTAATGAGTTAGCACATCTACTGCGTACACCTGCATACATACATTCAATTACGAATGGGCGCACACCTATGCATTGGCTTCCCTTTGTCGGCACCACCTTATCCACACACTTTGCCAGTCGCTGCTCGTCTGCCTGCGAGACCCTAAATCGTGCTCAAAGCTCAACGGGACGAGTATGTGCCGTAACGCGATCGGTGAGTGTTCCTCTACCATAGTTAATACAGCCGATCGCAACCTATAGAACAACGATCCCGTGACTCAGTGGTAAGAGCTTTGAACTAGCAACGAAAAGATTGTGGGCTCGAGCCTGGGGTGCCTCCAAATTTGGGTTGATGTAAGGCTGGCTAACGGCGGCTAATAAGCCAGAAATAGCCACCCTAATCTCCCTCGTCATTGTCAGGTCTGATTTCTGCATACGCTCCTGGTCGCTATTTGACTGTCTGCGAGAGCTTAAAATAGACTGGCAACACTCAACGAATGAGAAAGTTTCGTAATCCGATCAGTAGAAGCACTTCCGATATAGGTTCGTGTACCCCAATCGCAACCGACAGAACGACGGGTCCCAGGCCCAGTGATTAGAACATCGAACTTACTGACGCTCAAAAACCCGGTTTCGAACCCCAGGTGCCCCCCCAAAACCTGGGGTTGGGTAAAGTTGACTAACGACGACTAATTAGCCAGAAACAAATGCCTCGGTCTCCTTTGCCTTTGTCGATATTTTCCCTCGACAAGATCATGATGGAAACAAGGAGATCTCCGAAACGTCATTTGAAATGTTTTTCGGTCCACAACCTTGTTTGCTCTTAGTCTTCCTCGGAGGATGACGAACACGATAAGATATCTGTCCCTCGGCATTACCGACAAAGATAGGGGAGACCGGAATGGCCATTTAGGGCTTGTTATCCGTCCCCAACCTGCTATTCCTGTCTCCCTTGTCCTTGTCGCTGCCAATTTATCTACATATACTATTAGTCGATATGCGACTGCCTGCAATGGTTCCAACATGAGCCCCAAAGCACAACGGGACGAGCACGAGCGTCCTTATACTGCATATATATATATATCTATCAGGTAAATAATTTCAGAAATTAATCAGTGCAGAACTTGGAGTTAAATTATATATATATACTAGCCGGGCCCGGCCACGCGTTGCTGTGGCACAGGTGAATTCAAAATCTCTGTTGGATAATTCGATGTGGATGGGACGTGTTGCAGACAACACTAATGCATACATCCCATCATCGAGGCCGGCTAGATCAGGCATGATCGCAGCCGTATCAAGTACAAGTAAGTAAGTACATACATCCCAGTACTAGCTGGGCCCCGCCACGCGTTGCTGTGGCTCATTTGAATTCAAAATTTCTGTTGGATAATTAACCCGCCTCGCCTGCTTCCACAGCAGTGTCGACGGACGTATATGTGACTGCCTTGCTTTGAATCGTAGACTGAATAATATGGTTAAGATGGTACACGTGTTTGTTTTTGGCCACAAGAATAGCTCGTTCGCTCAATCAGGCGTGATTGTAGAAAGTGGTCTGAGTAGTGGGAGACACATTTTCAACCAATTCCTCTTTTGAGGACGCTAAATTGCCGAGGCTGAGACGTAGGGAAATCCTTTTTGTAGTCGGATCAGCGGGCACCGTTGCATTCCCAATTGCCAGCAATTACTGTGAGAATACCTCAGCTGATCGGTGGTTTTGCAGTTGGACACGCATATTTGTAGTTAATTTAGCCGTCTGGATTTGACGCCACAAAGAAAAGTATTTCAGGCGGGCATTTATTTCGTCTGCTGTTGCCGATGGAGGAGTTACAGGCAGTGCTTGCCTGAAGTCTCCTGCGAACAGTATTAGTAATTTCTCCAAACGGTCTACTGTTACCGCGCAAATCATTCAGTGTTCTATCGGGGGCCTCGAGCGCTTTTTTGCTCACGGCGCAAATCCACAACTAACGAAGAAGCAGAAGATCAGTTTGCTGAGGACATCCCCGGTTGATTAGGAACATTTTTCGCGA